AGTCAGAAGAGAAGATGAGCCTGAATGCGAAGAACACGGGATTCCCTTAATCGTTGGAAACACCCATGGGTGAGCAACGTGGTTTTCCTGTTGCATCAACTCACCACTAGAGGGCGGTACATCTCTAAATACACTGAACACACTGAGGGGTTGTGAGGTAGTTATTGTGGAAATTTGTGATTTTACACCAGAGACAGTAAGAATGGTGTAGCCTGAAGTTACAGTCTGGGTCCTGGATGTTTGATGCAGAAGCGGCTCCATCAAGCGAAACTAAGGAAGATCTTAGCTACTAGGCCAAGATCTTAGCTACTGTAAGGAAAGGAGATCATGTTTTATGTATGTGTAAGACACTCATTACTGAGCAATCCATGCACATGGTATATAACGTTAGGGTGCTCAGAAGGCCCTTATATACCCACTGAAAATGAAACACCTTGTAAAATATATGTATTTGAAAGGAAGAGAGAGAGATCACTCACCCATTGGTTTACTCCTTAAATGCCTGCAACAGCCAGAGCTGGGCGAGGCCAAAGTCAGGATCTGGGAACTCCGTCTGGGTCTCCCATGTGGGTGGCAGGGGCCCAACTACTCGAGCCATCACCTGTTGCCTCCCAGGGTGCACATTAGCACATTAGTGGGATTGGAAGTAGAGCTAGGACTCAGAGCAGGCACCCCAATATGGGTGCAGTGGGTGCAGGCGTCCCAAGGAGTATCTTTTTTTTTTTTTTTTTTTTATTGACAGGCAGAGTGGACAGTGAGAGGGAGAGACAGAGAGAAAGGTCTTCCTTTGCCGTTGGTTCACCCTCCAATGGCTGCCGCGGCTGGTGCGCTGTGGCCGGCGCACTGCGCTGATCCGATGGCAGGAGCCAGGTGCTTCTCCTGGTCTCCCATGGGGTGCAGGGCCCAAGCACTTGGGCCATCCTCCACTGCACTCCCTGGGCACAGCAGAGAGCTGGACTGGAAGAGGGGCAACCGGGACAGAATCCAGCACCCCGACCGGGACTAGAACCCGGGGTGCCGGTGCCGCAAGACGGAGAATTAGCCTAGTGAGCTGCGGCGCCGGCCCAAGGAGCATCTTAAATGCTATGCCAAACATCTGGCCCCAAAATGAGACACTTTATCTTTTTGACATATAGCCAGGTGCTTTTTAGGATTCCTGATTTTAAATGCAAATCAGTATTTCAGATGCACTGTTAACGTCCTACAACCTCTTGTTCCCCAAGATGCCATTTGAAGTTCTCACTTTTCGCTCCTCTGTAACCCCAAACGCGAAACAAGAGTAGACATTTGAGAAAAATTTAAAAAGAGCCAGGGTCAAAAACGAGCCTGCATCTTCAGGGATCAAGTGGCGAATGTGGCTGCAGCCACAGCCTGTTGGGTCCCGCGTACAGATCAGAGGCAGCTGGGAGCTTGAACCCAAGTAGAGGCACCAGGCTGCTTTCGTAAGCAATGCCCCTTGCTGCTGAGCGCTGGGAGACTGCTATTACCTGCAAATATTCTTATTTTGTCTCAAGCAGCCTTTTCAAAAAAAAATCTTGTTGGACCGCCTCGCATAAAGGATACTATAAACCATTTTCATAGTTTTTAAAAAATTATTTGGAAAGCAGAGTTACAGAGAGAGAGAGCTTTTCCTTCCACTGGTTGACTCCCCAGATGGCTGGGCCTAGCCAAAGCCAGGAGCCAGGGGATTCCTCAGTCTCCCACGCAGGTGCAGGGGTCCAAGCACTGGGGCCATCCTCTGCTGCTTTTCCCAGGCTGGATAGCAGGCAGCAGCCCTACCTGCTATACCCCAATGCCGGCATCCAGTTTTTATTTCTCCCTGGGTACAAAAAGTACCATTTTGGTCCCTTAGGAAAAGGGGGAAGAGGAAGATGGCAAAGGTCCTATGATCTTCTGCAATGACCCTGTTCCAATGGCACCTGCGGCAGGGTGCAGGATGGAGAGGAAGGCAAAAGTGTGCTGGTGTTCGGTGGTGCTTGGCAAGTGGCCCAAATCCTGCCCTGATGCCTTTCCTAGGACTGGCAGAGTGCGGCCCCGGGTCAGTCTTATCGCCCATCTTCCAGTCACCTTGCACCTGCAAGCTGCCTTGTCTCTTTTTGAAGTGCAAATCAATACCGCAAGCAACTGAGAATTACAGAAACACTTGCCTGAGCCCGAGCACCCAGCACCGTGCCAAAGCTGGGGTTTGGGGGGTGATTTTATTTCTTAAGAAGTTCAGATCTGCCGGAGGAGTCCTGTGATGACAGCTTGTCAGGGAACAGGGTCCCCATGGCCTCTGAAGAAGGGTCCACAGCTGTGCCATCATTTCTATTTCTTCTCTGTGGGTCCTGGCCAGACCAGGACAGGGGCTCAGGGCAGAGGAGAGCGGGTCCCTTAGAGCCAGTCCTAGAGGGGTGATGGGCTGGATGGGTGGCTGATCCTGCCCTCCGGGGGGGTTCTCCTTGAGTTCCTGGCCCTAGGAAGGTGTGGGTGGTGACCAGCTGCAAACTCCCCTCCCACCAGCACCTACAGTCCCCGCCTACTGCTGGAAGCCAGAGCTGACAGAGCCACGAGGGACAAGACCAGGAATCTAGGCTGGCAAGGAAGGCTGCAGGGGCTCTAGCTCCCTTCACACCCAGGTCTTGAACTTGGAAGCCAGTGAAACGCGGAGCTGAGCTCCTGAGTGGGTAAATGAACTCACCCTCCATCCATTCTGTGTGCTGGGGCAAACGTGAGGCCAAGGCAGCCGCAGGTTGATGGGACAGCAACTGGGGAGGAGGGTGCAAGTGAACAGGTGGCTGTGAGCAGAGAGGTGGTGCCAGCGTAGGGACAGCATAGGGAGAGGCAGCGAGGGCGAGGTGGCTTGGGAAAGGCCTGGGCACGAGTGGGACTGGAGAGAGAGTGATGCCCAGCCCAGAGCCCCATCTATCTGCAAAGCTTCCTGAGGACCTGGTGACCGCGTATGCCGGGGCTCGGCTCACTGGATCTGCACCGCGATGGAATCAGCTGGGCATCCTGATGCCCACTTTACAGATGGGGAAACTGAGTCCAGGACCAACAAGTGGCGGAAAGTCCCCTAAGAAGTAGAGGAGACGGGGCTCAAGCTGACATCGGACTAGCAACCCTACCCTCGAAGCACCACAACCAGGTTGCTGCTGTGGCCAGAGCGCTTGGGCACAGGCTGGGAGAAGATCGAGGGTGGATGTGTGGCCAGGAGCACCTCTGTCCTCATCACACCAGCTGTGTGCTGGGCTGCTCAGTGCCCAGGGACCCTAAGGCTCAGGAGCCGAGGTTCGAGCCACGTGTTTTTTTTTTTTTTTTTAAAGATGTATTTTATTTATTTGAAAGAGTTACAGAGAGAGGTAGAGAGAGAGAGAGAGAGAGAGGTAGAGAGAGAGAGAGAGGTCTTCCATCTGCTGGTTCACTTCCCAGATGGCCACAACGGCCGGAGCTGCGCCGATCCGAAGCCAGGAGCCAGGAGCTTCTTCCGGGTCTCCCACGTGGGTGCAGGGGCCCAAGGACTTGGTCCATCTTCTACTGCTTTCCCAGGCCACAGCAGAGAGCTGGATCAGAAGAGGAGCAGCCAGGACTAGAACTGGCGTCCATATGGGATGCCAGCGCTTCAGGCCAGGGCTTTAACCCGCTGCACCACAGCGCCGGCTCCGAGCCAGGTGTTTTGAAACTTGGCTCCCCACTGGGAGAGATGACTGGTGGTTCAGGGATGGTGGCCATTGGGATGGGGACCCATGGTGGAGAGGGGGCTGGGCAGGGAGGAGAGCGAGGGGCAGCTTGCGTCCAACTGAGGCGGGTGGGCGAGGCGCCATCCATCCTTGTCACTGCTACCAGGAAGTGCCCAGGTCGGTGTCTGCGGCCCGAAGAGCATGGGCCAATTGTCTGGGCACAGAGCCACAGAGGGACTCCTGGTTATGCCGCTCTGGCTGCTGTGCTGGCCGGGGAGACCCCAGGCCCAGGTGTTTATGGCTTGGTGATATTTTCCCCTTGGGGGGTAAAAAAAGGTGAGCTCTGAACAGTATGTGTGAACTTGAGAGCAGAAAATTGGGGGAGAAGTTTTTTGGGGGTTTATTTTTATTCATTTATTTTTTGCTTTGAGAGGGAGGGAGAGAAAGTGAGCCGTCTCTTCCCCAATCCATTAGTGCATCCCCCCCAGAAGCCCACAATGGCTAGGATTGGGCCAGGCTGAAGCTGGGAGCCAGGAGCCAGGTCTCCCCGATGAGTGACAAGGACACATACTCCTGGGCCATCACCTGCTGCCTCCTGTGGAGTACCTTAATAGCAAGCTGGAATTGGAAGTAGGGAGCCTGGCCATGATACAGGATACAGGCATCTTAACTTCTGGGCCCCATGCCAGCCCCAGGCTGGGAAGTTTTCATTGTGAAAGAAGCATCTGGAAGTCCCTATAGAAACCCAGCGACAGGCAGGGCAGGCAAGGGGTCTGGGTTGCTGTGATGTGGTTAACAGGACTGATGGCGCCTGGGGCAGCAGAGCTGTGTTGGCCACACAGGCCACTGGTGGTGGAGTGCCAGGGCTGTGGTCTTGGCCACTGCTTCTGCGCCCTCCTCCCTTCTTTGGGACGTGGACAGTACAGTAGTCTGGGACTGGGGCTGGAGCTGAGACAGGCAGAAGAGCTGGGCCAGGGCCATGCCCCCACTGCCAAGCCAAGGCCAAGTAGAAGAGCAAGGGCAGCCCTGTGGCAGGGGTATGCCAGGGAGAGGCTGGAGATGAGTGGATGCCCGTTGCCCCCCACCCCCTGCAATGAGACCGACCATAATCAAATCTCCTTTCCCAGCCAACAGCAAATCCTCCCCCGGTAAGGACTGACTGGGACAGTGCAGAGGGAGGGTACTGGCAACAAGGTGTATGGGGGCAACGGGGGGGGGGGGTTTGCTAACGCATGGGCAGGAGGGAGCCTCAGCTGTGGCCCCTGCTGTTGGAAACGGACGGTCTGGGGGTGCAAAGGGGGTGGCCTGCACCCCAGGTGAAGAAGGCAGGACCCCGCGGGGTTTCTATTTCAAACTCCTCATTTATTTTGACATTCTCTTGGTTGCAACTCCAAGTTATCAAAGATGCAGGAGAAACCTGTAGCGGGAGCAGTGGACGCAGGTGAGAAAGATCGGGGAGAGGGCTGAGTGCTCCCGGCTCCTCCTCCTGTTTCGGGTGCGGTTTGAAAAGTGTACAAATAGTGTCCCATGGTATAGACGCCACAGCTGGAAAGGCAGTGCCTTACGGTGGATGAGCCTCCTCCCAGCCAGAGCAGACCCTTGCAACCTCAGCAGGTGGCTGGGCCCGGGTCGGAGCCTGTGCCCTGAGCACCGGGGGCTGTGTGGGGACAGCTGTGGCCGGCCACCATCTCTCCAGTGCTGGAGGCTGGGACAGGGTGTTGTGCACGAAGGGCCCCCGGTAGGTCCCGCTGGGGTGAGGGTTGAGTGGGCTGTCCTGATTTTCCTGAGGGCAGGTGCCATGACACGGTGGTTTTGGTGAGGAGGGCCGTGGCTGTTGTGGCCAACTGGCTGTGGGGCTGCCGGGGAGCAAGGCACTGGGGTTGGTGGTCGGGCAGTGGGGAGGGCTGCTGGGCCCAGCAGAACGCCCAGGGCAGGGCTGGCACGGATGGGGTATGTGAAAGCCGTCCCCTCTGTGCTGGGCCACACATCTCATCATTGCCACCCCCACCTGCCCCCAGCTGCTTCCTGGTGCAAGAGAAAGGCTGGCCTTGGAGGGCACTCAGTGGGAGGGTCAGACATGCTTTCGCTGACCCTGACCGTGGTTTTGTCTCTGATTTGTGTTTTATTGCGGCCTTTCATCCCTCACCAAGCATCCCTGCAGGGGCAGTGGCCTGGCTATAAGATCTTTCTGGCGGAACACTCTGGAGGTCCATCTGGGCAAGCCCCATTGCCCTGGAGAAAACAGTCTAGGTGAAATTGACTAATCCTAGCGCTAATGAGCCACTAAAATGCGACCAGAGCCCAGGTGGCCAAGTGCTGGCTTCGAGCCCCCTGCCTCCCCTCGGCTGCACCCAAGGAATCAAGACTTTGACAGAGGGGCCAGTCCCCACCCTGGGGCACCCTCTGTAGCGTCCAGGGACACAGGAGCAGGCTGGGCTCCTGCGCCAGCAACCCGAAAAGTCATCATATGCGCTTCTCCAAAAAGCAAAAGGCCACTGTTACGAGAGGAAGTGGGGGCGGGACATCACCAGGGCACTGGGGTATGGGACGACCTGCCACTCACTAGCCACACCCTTCTTGTCCTCGGGAGCCTGCGTGGCCCCGCGCTGTGGCCTCACAGGCAGAACCCAGGAAAGGCTGCGGCTCTGCCTCTCCCAGCCAGCTGCACGCCGGGCCATTGTGTCCACCTTTCCTTCATGCTGTCTGCGGGTCAGGGTTCCAGCGCCTGGCGGGTTAAACGCCCGGGGCATCTGCTGGTGGTAAGGGGTGGGGTGGTGTTGCTATTTGGTGCAGGTCCCCACAGATGACCTCACGTGGCCTTAAAGTCAACTGCGCTGTGTTCCCCGAAGGAGGCGGCAGAAACAGGCGGTGTGTTCAGGCATCAACCGCCCTACCGGAGCAGCCATGGCGCCGGCAGTAACCAAGATGCAAAACTGGCCTGTGCATTATAGCCAGCAAGTCTTTAAGAGGTCCCTTTAACATGCCTTGCCTTCTCCCGCATCCTGGAATGGCCTGGTCCCCACTTCTGTCCTTGACAGAGTCCTTGTTTCACCTTCCTACAGCTCCTGTCCCCAGTCCAGCAAAATCAGGGGCTGTGGGGGAAGGGGGGCAGTGACAGGGGCGGTGTGGGGGCAGGACGGCCAGAGGACTGTCCCACCCTCAAGCTACCAGGCCCATCTCTGGTTCCCAATGCCCGCGATGGCTTGGATGCCGGTGAACCTTCCACTGTGGAGCAAGAAAACCCAAAGATATGGAGTCCTGTGGGGCTTCGGGAGGGCCAGCCCTGTTGCCATGGCCCCAGCTGGGCAGCCGCGTTGGTGAGTGTGCGGGGCGGGGGTGAAAGGGGTCACACGTCTGTACTAATAGCCCTTGGATTGGTGAAGACCTCGCGCCCTGGGCAGGTCACCGGGTAACTCTGGGGCGCTGCGAGTTTGAGCGCTGGGGGTCCCCCCTCTTTGTAGTATGTGGGGGCAAAGGAGAGCCTCTCGCCTCCACCCCCATTGGGCACCAGGTCAGCTGTCCGTATGTAGAAGGGGGAGCTGTACGGGGAGCAGGTGGCGCAGTGGCTCGCCGCCACCCCGCACGGCTGGCTGCACGGCTCGCCGAGGAGGGGCGCCAGGCCGCCTCTGCCGTCCAGGGCTTGGGAGCTGCAGGCGTTGCAGGCGGGGCCTCGGGGATGCGCGGGCAGGTCGTGCTCCTCCTCTTCGTCCGCATCCTCGGCTGCGCTCTGCTTGCAGCAGTAATACTGGGGGCAGGGAGAGGAGTGGGGGGCCGCTCAGCGCGCCTCGGCGCAGGTGCAGGTGCGCGTCCCCACCCCCCAACTCCCGCTCCGCTGGAGGCCTGGGGATTCATCTGAGCCCCGGAGACCCCACCCTGGTCCACGAGCGCAAGTGACAGTCCCAGCTCTGGGAGGCCCGCGCTTCGTTCCCCTCCTTCTCAGCGTGTTAACCCTGGGCCGGGGTTGCGGGGCAGAGAGGCAGGGGGCCCACGCACGCCGCCGTGAGGTCAGGGCCGCGTCTCCCCAGCTGGGCGCTCCTCCCACCACTCGAGAACTCTCCGAGGTGCTGAAGGCGCCACACGCCCGCAGCCCGGCACACACGCTCTGGATGGGCCCAAGGGTGCACAGCTGCCCGCAGACCACCGTCCAACTCCCAGCCTCGACGGCTGCCTCCCACGTCCCGCGGCCCCGGGCACTGACCTGGAGCCTACAGTAGCACAGGACAGCGATGATACACAGGAGGATCACCGTGGCTAGGACTCCGCCAGTGATCACAACCGTTCCCGCGGTCATCCGCCCGGCGCCCCATCAAACTGCAAAGAGGCGCGTGGAGGGTGAGGCGCAGCTGCGGCAGCCACGCTGGGCAGGGGGCGGCGGGGGGACCCTGCTGGGCAGCTACAGGCAGGGGCCTGAGGGCGCGGGGGCTTCCTACGGACTGGCTGGGGCCTGGGACCCCTGTTCAGCCAGGGGGCTGGGGCTGGGGTGGGGTCTGAGGCTGACCCCGGGCAGAGAGGAGGCCGCCAGCCAGTTCTGTTTCCAGTTGCTGTGCATTCTAAATGGAGGTGGCTGGCTTTCTTCTCTCCCTTTCTCCTCTCCTTACACCTTCTTAAAGTCCCAAGACACAGGGAACAGGAGTCCCTGGGGGCTACAGGGCCGGCCTAGAGAAGGCTGTGTGCAAGCAGGACAGAGTTAATTACCTCCAGTCTGTACACAGGAGAACAGGGGCTTAGGTCAGTGGCTGGGATGCCACCCAGCATGGCTCTGTCCTAAGGCCAGGGTCCTTACCACTGCCCTCCCAGGCATAGACACCAGCGGTCCCTGAGCCCTTGGCCCTGGCTGGAGCAGAGACGGCCCAAACCTCCAGAGTCCCACCGGGTTCTGCCCTGGCTCCAACCCCCACTCCTTTTGGGGGTGTCTCTGTTCTCCTTCAAACCCCCATGCAAAACAAGGGCCAGGTGAGCCCAGAGGGGCGGGTGGGCAGCGTCCTGGCTTCTGGAAGGTTGAGGCCACACTGGCCAGGAAGGGGCTGGGTGATTGGGACCGAGGCAGGTTCTGGGTGAGGGGCTGTCCTGGCCTCGCACCGACTCCCTGAGCTCAGCGAGGATTTTCTGAACCTCTCAGGCATGCCGGGGACCAAGGAGACGGGAGGGCGGGGGCTTGGACTCTTGAGGGTGGAAGAAAGACCGTGGGCACTTACGTTCAGTAAGGGAATGCTGACCTGCAAGACAACGGAAGGGACAGAGATGTTGGGAGAAGACAGTTAGCCACTGCCAGAGGCGGATGGTTCCCCCGCTCCACCCCGCCCTCATCTGGCTCCCTTCCCTGAGTGGTGCAGCATCAGTGAGCCCCCCGGGTCTCCAGCGGCCCCCAGCTGCGAGAGATCACCACTGCCCTTGACTGTCCCCCCAGCATTGCCAAAGTCACTACTCTGCACCCCAGGTGGGTCCCTGCCTCTGACCTCTGTGTCTCTGTTACTCCCCGCCTCGCGGTTCAGGCTGCTCACTGCTCACTGCTCGCAGGCTAAGCCAGCACACCAAGCCTCTGCACTGTGCCCACTGAGCCGTGCGCCCTGGTGCATTCACCCGGAGGAATTTCTTCACCCAAATATCCCAGCTGTCCAGGCCTGTGCTCCTGGCGGGTGACAGCCATCCAGGGGTGCCTGGCTGCTCACAGAGTGGTCTGGGGACCTGCAGCGAGTGCATCAGAAATGGGGCCTCTCAGGTCCACCATGGGCCAAAGGCATCCAAGCAAAGTCCCAGGGATGGATTTTACTTTAGACTGGGACAAGGACGTGGGCTAGTCACCCTGACGTTGAAACCCTATTTTGTGACGTGTCCAGGTTTTCTCCTCTCTAGATGATGCCTTGCATCGCGAGCCTGCACTTGGCCAATTTGGGCTCCAAACCGATCTTCCTCCTTGGCCTCTGAGACCCTCTCTGCCACCAGCAGCTTAGCCTTGCACTCACGCCACCTGAGGGGTACATTCAGCTCAGGGCAAACTTCTATTCGGTTTATATTTGAAAGGCAGGCAGACAGACAGACAGACAGAGAGGGCGCTCCCAGCCACTGCCTCCCTCCCCAGATGCCCATGCTGAGACCGAGGCTGAATGCAATCCAGGTCTCCCACGGGCGAGGCAGGAACCCATTCACTTGTGTGTTTCCTGCTGCCTCTCGGGGGTATGCATCAGCAGGAAGCTGGGGTGAAGAGCTGGATTGAACCCAACCATCCTGGTATGGGCATCTTTTTAAAAAAATATTAGTTGAGAGAGAGAGAGAGAGCTTTCATCTACTGGCTCATGCCCCCAAATGCCCACAATAGCCAGTGCTACTGTCAGTGTCAAGAGCCTGGAGCTCCATCTGAGTTTTCCGTGTGAGTGTCGAGGATCCAAGCACTTGGGCCGTCTTCCGCTGCCTCCCAGGTGCACATAAGCAGGAAGCTGGATCAGAAGTGGAGGATTCAGGATTTGAACCACGCACCCCAAATATGACATGTGGGTGCTCTAAGAGCTAAGTTAGTTCCTGCATCAAACGCCTGCCCCTGGATGTGGGTGTCTGGATTGTTAGGGTGAATGGCTGCCCCGGGTGCAGACTTCAGATAGAGCTATGGAGGCTGTGCCCTTCGCAGGTGCCTGCGTGCCCAGATGTCTTTCCTTCCCCCCCTCCTGTCGTATCCTCTGCCATACAGGGCAGTCCTGGCTGTTAGGCGTAATGCCTGGCCATGGCAACACATGGCACCCTTCCGCTTCCGTGTAAGACAGCCGACCACAGCTCCCAGAGGAAGGGCTGTGGGGAGCCAGTGGAGGGTCAGCTGACCAGAGGGGCGCTATCCCGCGGAGGAGGCTGTGTGTGAGCTGAGGGTGTCCGGGAGACAAAGCGAATGACCTGGGCAGTGCAGGGTGCAGTTCTGTACTGCAGGGGCTCAGGAAAGGCTGTGCAGACCAGGGGCAGGCCGGGGGCTGGAGCGGGGGCAGGCCGGGGGCTGGAGTGGGGACAGGCCGGGGGCAGGCCAGGGGCTGGAGCAGGGGCAGGCCAGGGGCTGGAGCAGGGGCAGCCCAGGGGCTGGAGTGGGGGCAGGCCGGGGGCTGGAGCAGGGGCAGGCCGGGGGCAGGCTGGGGGCTGGAGCGGGGGCAGGCCGGGGGCAGACTGGGGGCTGGAGCGGGGGCAGGCCAGGGGCTGGAGCAGGGGCAGGCCGGGCCTGGAGTCAGATCTGACTCTTGTGGAAATGACGGGAGACCCTGGGGAGCTTTCAGGAGGGGGTCTCTGAGCTCTTTCTCTGTTTTTATTTTTTGAAAATTTCTCTACTTATTTGAAAAGCAGAGTTACAGAAGGAGAGTGGAAGAGAGACACAGAAAGGTCTTCCATCTATGGTTCACTCACTAGATGGCTGCAATGGCTGGGCCTGGTCAAATCCAGGAGCCTGGAGCTCCATCCTGGTCTCCCACATGGGTGCAGGGGCCCAGGTACTTGGGCCATCTTCTGCTGCTTTCCCAAGCACACTAGCAGGGAGCTGGATCGGAAGTGGAACAACCGGGACTTGAACTGGTGCCATATGGGATGCCGACATCGCAGGCGGCAGCTTAACTGCTACACTACAACATTGATCTCTTTGTCTAAATTCATCCCATCCTGAGGCTGGTGTTGTGGTGCAGTAGGTTAATCCTCCGCTTGTGGTGCTGGCATCCCATGTGGGCACCGGTTCGAGTCTCGGCTGCTCCACCTCCGATCCAGCTCCCTGCTGTGGCCTGGGAAAGCAGTGGAAGATGGCCCAAGTCCTTGGGCCCCTGCACCCACATGGGAGATCCAGAGGAGGCTCTTGGCTCCTGGCTTCGAATCGGCTCAGCTCCAACCTCTGTGGCCATTTGGGGAGTGAACCAGCGGATGGAAGACCTCTTTATCTGTCTCTCCCTCTCACTGTCTGTAACTCTACCTCTCACTGTAGCCCTACCTCTCAAATGGATAAGTAATTAAAACATCCTTGCCACCCTTCTAGGCCCCAATAAGTCTTCCCCTGTCTCATCTCCAATGCTCTCCCTCATCTCCCGACGCCGACTGCAATACTTTCCTGCCTTTCACTCTTCCAGTCCTGTCTTAGTGGGATGCTAGGCAAACTGATTCCACTAAGTTATAAATCTTTCGGGATCATGGTTGAGTTACACTGTTTGCAGTCCCCCTGCAGCCTGTCCCACAGCAGGTGCTTTATAAAACTGGGTGAGGTCACGGACCAAGCAGTCATGACTCAAACTGACCACCAGGGGGCAGCAAGTGGTAGCTGTCAGAGCAGATTTACTGGTGCAAGGCCACTTTGACTTTGATCAGATGCATGGCGGGTTGTGCGCAGAAGTTCACCGGGGTGTCTTGTTTGCGGGGGGCAGCAGAAGAAGCTCAGCATAGAGAATATTTATGTGCTTTCGCTATAACGTCATTCCATTCTGCTCCGCTCCCCTGCCCACGCACCACCGAGGGTTGCTTAGGAGACAGAGCGACTTACAGAGTCCCCCAGCTGTGCCTGATTTAGGAGATGGAATCTCGGGAAGCCCTCCTTCCTCGCTGCTCTCCACGCCCGGAGCCCCCTTCCTCAGTACCCCAGAGGCTGCACAGCAGCAGCCAAAGTGCTCCCAGAGCAGGCTGAGCCAGGGCTCTCCGAGGTCCAGACCCAGTCGTGCCCCTGGGCAGCCACTTCTTAACAAAAACATCTAGCTCACGAGGCACTAGAAGACCCCAGAGCCGGGAAAGGGAAGGCGCCGACACTTAATGGCTGCTGTGGTGGAGCCGTAGATCATTAGCCGGGAAGGCACACACACAGGGCGTGAAGTGCACCAGCCAGGTCTCAGCCCGCTTCCCGGGGGCCCGGCGCTCGTGTCCGATTCGGCGCAGACATGCGCACATTCAGCGGCTCATTCTTATTCCAGGTGGGCACACTTCGTCTTTGCAGTTGCCTGCAAATGATGACAACTCCCTGCACCTGGACAGCGCCTTCCAGCCTATCAAGGGCTTCCGTCTCCTCCTCCTGCTGGGGTGGGCGGGCTTTCAGATGGCCCCGGCCGATCCCAGACCCCTGTTTCCTGGCTGTCGTGGGCTTCTGTTCTCCATGCCCTTGGGTGCGGGTGCGACCTGTGACTTGATTCTAACTGTGAGTACAGCAAAGGTGGGACGTGGTCTTGTGAGACTCTCACTTCCTGCTCGCTTGCCAGCTGGGGAACCGAGGGTGGCCGTGGGCCCGTAGCTAGCTGGGGAGTGAAGCCCTCAACCCAATGGCCCCCACGGAACGAAGGAATCAGAGGTGAGAGTGTACGCTTTCTAATGACACAGCCACCTTGGCTGATACTTTTCGGTGCACAGGCCCTGAGAGGGGAGGACCCCATTGGCCATCCTGGATTCCCGGCTCGCAGAAATGCTCATATGATTTGCGCTGTTAGAAGCTGCTGAGTCTGGGCCAGGTGGTTATGCGGCTCAGGACGGCCAGTCCACCTCCTTGAGCCTTGCACCCTCCCTCCCCCCCACCCAGTGCAGGAGGGGAAGCCAGGCGAGTCCGTGATTGGTCTAAAGCCACAGGACACCATGTCTGCATCAGGCCCCGGGGCTGGCCTGTGGCGTGTCCACCATGCTCCTGCCTTGCGGTAGCTCCCCGAGGACAGCAGAAAGAGGCCTTGTGTTCCCACCCAGGTCCCAGCAGATCCCAGACGCGCCAAGTCTATTGTGGCCATCTTGGTGGTCGGGGTCAGCCAAAGAGGACCGGGCCCCCTAGGGCCTGTCCTTTGGAAGCCCCTCCCACCCCACCCAGGGCCCAGACACCTCCTCCCGGCAGGGGGCGGGCTTTGCCTGTGTCTGGCACTTACGTGAACCAGCTGGAGGGCAGCGGCACAGTCACACGGGGTGCACCTGATGGGACAGCAGCCGGGAGTGCGTCATGGCCAAGGGCATCAGTCCCTGCCAGGGAAGACAGGGAGAGGTCAGAGGAGCGGGGCGGGGAAGGCTGAGAGGACAGACAGGCCGCTGCTGGCCCCTGGCGGGGACTCCCAGGTCTCTGAGGGGCTGTACCAGGTTGCCCCGGCCTCCGAGGCCCAAGCTCCGTGTTCCCAGTGCTGCTGTCCAGAACCCTAAGTCCCGCGCAGCCGTAGGGTGCTGGGTGGGGGCCTCAGTGGGGAGGGGGGAGACCAGTTCGCCTCCCTCATGCTCCAGGACAGACTTCAGATCCCCTCGCCGGCGCAAGGGTCCTGGCTGCCTGACCGGCCGTCCTGGGTGCAGGCGTTTGTGCTGGGGAGGGAGCCACCCTCCCAGGGGTCAGGGTGATGCCCCTTGGTTCTCTGGCTGGAGGTCCAGGATAGCGGGTCCAGCGGGAGCCCTGGGAGGGGTGACAAGGGGCCGCGGGCCATCCCCGCAGCAGCAGCCCTGACCGCCTGCTCTGTCCCTCCCAGCTCCAGCCACCGTCTGCCTCCCACTAGTGTCTCTGCTGCTGACTGCTCTCTGCTGCTGGCCCTCTTCTCCGGAAACGGTGAGTCGTTGGTGGGTTTCTTCCTACCCAACAGACAGACTATGGAGAGCGGGGTCAGGTGCGTCCCTTTCGCCCTCACACAGTCCAGTGGCCGGGTGGCTGCTGAGCGTGCAGGCTCCGCCCCCCCAGAGGGCGTGGCGCTGGCAGGGGGCCAACACAGAAAGCCCCAGGTGTTGCGAGCGAGCTGACTCTGGACCAGGGATGGGGCACTTGCCTGGGTTAGGGGGGCCTCAGGAGACCCCACGAACACATTCACTACACCAAGAGCCAGTTGTGAGCTTCTCCCGGCTCTCTGGCACAGACCAGTGAGGCATGATAATGTGTTGTGATCCGAGGAGTATAACAATGGATCTTCTGCATCTGAGGTCCAACTTGATCAAAAAGGAAGGAGGAGGTTCTCACTTCCTCCAGGGAGCCTTCTAGGATTGACTTAATGCTACAGTTTTTTGTTTGATCTTCTAAGGCCTGTTTGTCCTCAGCTGTCTGCATTTATGGATGCACCCGCATCCTGTGGGTAGAGTGCTGCTGCTGCTGCTTCTTTTTTTTTTTTTTTGACAGGCAGAGTGGACAGTGAGAGAGACAGAGAGAAAGGTCTTCCTTTGCCGTTGGTTCACCCTCCAATGGCCAGCGCACCGCGCTGATCCGAAGCAAGGAGCCAGGTACTTCTCCTGGTCTCCCATGGGGTGCAGGGCCCAAGCACTTGGGCCATCCTCCACTGCACTCCCTGGCCACAGCAGAGAGCTGGCCTGGAAGAGGGGCAACCGGGACAGAATCTGGCACCCCGACTGGGACTAGAACCTGGTGTGCCAGTGCCACAGGTGCTGGCCAATAGAGTGCTTCTTTAAAAACAAACAAACAAACAAACAAAAAAACTTTAATTTATTTGAAAGGCATAGTGACAAAGAGAGGGAGAGTAGAGAGAAAGAGAGCCAGCCACCTGCTGGCTCACTCCCCAAATGGCCACAACAGCTCGGTCTGGGCCATGTCAAAGCCAGGAGCTCCATCTGGGTCTCCCACGTGAGTGGCAGGGGCTCAAGCACTTCCCAGGGTGCATATTAGCAGGGAGCTGGATCAGAAGCTGGGCAGCTGGGATCTGAACCGGCGGGCTGATACAGGATGCTGGCAATTGGGATCTGAACCAGGGTGCTGATACAGGATGCTGGCAATTGGGGTCTGAACCAGGGTGCTGATACAGGATGCTGGCAATTGGGATTGGAACCGGGGTGCTGATACAGGATGCTGGCATTGTAGGCAGTGGCTTAACCCACTGCACCACAATGCCGCTGCCTGCTTCCTTTCCTAGTGGGAGTCTCGCGTTTTTAGGCTCCGCCCCAGCTGTCTGGTGTGGGGCAGTGACAGGTCTGATGTGGCGCTGGCCCGCCCGCCCCGAGCTGTCCCACGCACCGCTTGCATTCTGCCCTTGATCCACTGTGTCTAGCGGAAGGAACATCAGGCCAGGAGTCTCCAGATTTGGGTACAAATTCTATTTTCTTTTTTTCAAATCAGTGTTCTGGCTTCTCCTTCTTAGAATATACATATTTTAATTTTTATTTCTCAGAAAGGCACAGAGACAGAGATTTTTTTTTTTTCATCCACATGTTGAGTCCCTAAATGCTTACAACAGCCAGGGCTGGGCCAGGCTGAAGCCAGGAGCCCAGAGCTCAACCCAAGCGCCCCACAGGTCGGGGCGCCGGATTCTGTCCCCGTTGCTCCTCTTCCAGTCCAGCTCTCTGCTGTGGCCTGGGAGTGCAGTGGAGGATGGCCCAGGTGCTTGGGCCCTGCACCCGCATGGGAGACCAAGAGGAGGCACCTGGCTCCTGGCTTCGGATCAGCGCGTTGCGCCGGCCACAGCACACTGGCCACAGCGGCCACTGGAGGGTGAACCAACGGCAAAGGAAGATCTTTCTCTCTGTCTCTCTCTCACTGTCCACTCTGCCTGTCAAAAAAAAAAAATGCTGCCTTCTAAGGGCTGGGGGGTGGATGCAGTCCCCGAGCCCCAGGGCCTCCATGGTGCTCCACGCGGCTCACAGAAGAGATGGCCCTTCCTGCTCACTTGTCCCCCGATGAGGCTGGCTCTGCTCGGGTGTGGGTGGAGGCCTGGGAAGACCCGGACCACCCACTGCAAGAGAGAAGGAAGGATGCTGGGGCGTGGCGTGAGGAGGGAGGGGGAGGAGCTAGGCTGGTGTCCTGTCCAGGTTACCATCCCAGCAGGAGGCTGGAGCCATGGGTGCCTGGGAAAACGGGAGCCCTGTGCATAGATTTTGGGCTTCAGGTGAGCCCTGATCGAGGTCTGGGCGAGACCTGCCCTCGATCCTGCCCGGGGCATTCATCGAGTGGGAAAATGTTAGTCATTTCTCTTCCACGCTCTCCCTGATGCCTGCTCAGGTCACAGCACCTGCCGCAGCTCCCAATCTGGCCTTGTCCAGTGTCCAGCGGGGCCCTCGGGGTCTCAGTGTGCTCATGGAGCTGTGTGGTGGCCCGCGTCTATTCTTCCCCTACTAAGTTACTGGGTACTAAGTGCAGCACTTGGCTTTGAGCTCAGGGACACAAAGATGAGGGCAGAACTCCCTCCTGGAGCTCACAGGGAGCGAGGATCGGAAACAATGGTGGACATGCCTGTCCCCGGCTTCCAGACACAGCTGGCCTGGCCACCAGCAAAAGGTCAGGAGACAGGGTGATTACAGACCCTCCCAGACCCTCACCCGCAGCCCCTGTAGCCCACAGCCACACCAGGCTCACTCAGTGCTGGGGGTGACCATTTAGATCTGCAGCAGACAAGTGACAAAACCAAGTGGGACCCTGCTCCTCTCCACCAGGGGGCACTGTCTACATCCTTGATGCCTGTCTGCAGCGGGGCTGGGGTGACACAAAAGTGGCAGTGCCCCCCCCCCCCCCCCCCGTGCACCACGCTGATCATGGGAGAAGGGTGGGCACAGGTGAGTGTGTGCCCCTGTGCACCTCCCCGGGCAGCTGGGGAGAGCTGTGGCTCTGGCCCAAAGCCACAGAACACACTGCTTTGCAGCCGCACCCGCTACCCCCTCACCCCACCCCCACCCGCCGTGAGTCTGCAGCCCGGGAACTCAACAGATGCTCAGAGAAGGCCATTTCTGCACGAGCTCTCTGTGCTAATGAACAGGTGCACATCAGGTCTGGGGGACGTGCTCCTGGCTGCCACCCCCCGTCCCACTGCCCACCTGGGCCTGCTACAGAGCGCAGCCCGGGTGCCACCTGCCCCACCTCCTAAGGTCTCTCCCAGCTCTCTCCTGAGAAGATGGGCTTTACCGCTGGCCCTGTGACACCCACTGGGACCTAGTGGTCTCTCTCTCTCTGTGGCTCTGTCTTTCAAATAAATGAATCTTAAAACAAACAAACAAACAAAAAAAAACAATGTGAGTAGCAGGGAGTGGAAGACTTGCTCAGGTTTCCCCAGAGGGACAGGATTGGGGCGGGCGTTGAGGTGCAGCCGGTTTAGCCTCCACTGTGTTGGAGTCCTGATTCAAGTCTTGGCTGCTCTGCTACTGCTGCCTTTTTTAAAGATTTATTTTATTTATTTGAAAGTTACAGATTGAGGTAGAGACAGAGAGAGAGGTCTTCCATTTGCCTGATTCATTCCCCAGATGGCTGCAACGGCCAGAGCTGTGCCGATCTGAAGCCAGGAGCCAGGAGCTTCTTCTGGGTCTCCCACATGGGTGCAGGGGCCTAAGGAGTTAGGCCATCTTGTACTGCTTTCCCAGGCCATAGCAGAGAGCTGGATCAGAATAGGAGCAGCCGGGACTAGAACCGGCGCCCATATGGTATGCCGGCGCTTCAGGCCAGGGCGTTAACCCGCTGCACCACAGCGCGGGCCCATGCTCTGCTTCTGATCCAGCTCCCTGCTAATGCAGAAGGCAGCAGAAGATGCCCCAAGTGGTTGAGTTCCCGCCACCCATAAGGGAGACCTGGGTGGAGCTCCTGGCTCCTGGCTTCTGCCTGGCCCAGCGCTGGCTGTTGCAGGCATTTGGAGAGTGAACCAGCAGAGGGAAGATCTCCTCTCTCTCCCTCTCTCCCTCCCTCTCTGACACTCTGCCTTTCAAACAAATAAATCTCGGAGAGAGAGGATTTGAAGGAAAGGGATCAAACCAGGCCAAGGAAAATGTAGGCCAAATCCAAGACCGCGCTCTCAGAAGGGCGGAACAGGCCCAGCAGGGCGGCTTGGAGACTGCAGTCCACATCACAGGGGGAGGCTCCGGGGCTTCGAGCTGCTCCCCCGCCCTGCAGTGCCCAGCCCCGTTATCCTGCCGGTGGGATCTGACCCGGCCAGGCTGAGGGCTTGTCCGGGCTGGGACAAGTCAGCTTCTGGGTTTGGAGGCTTTAAGAAGTGCAGATGCAGATCACTTAATGACAACAGGTGCCCCGAGCAGGACGGTCACAAACCCGGCCCCAGGTGACCAGTCAG